AGCCAGGACTGCTGATAAATGATGGACAGTGGCTTGCTGAGCACCCCTGCTAGTTCTCATAGCACTCTAGGACATTCCCCATCTGGCCCCATAGATTTATCCACTTTGATGTGGGGCAGCAGGTCACTGACCATCTCCTCCTGGATTGTGGGGGGACATTTTGCTCCTGGCCCCTGTCTCTTGGCTTGGGGGGCTGACTTTCCCCGGTACAAGTGTTCCTATTACTAAAGATTGAGGCAAAGGCGGCATTAAGCACCTCAGCCTTATTACCATATTTCCTTTTGGATCTAGTAGGGGATGGAGGCTTCCCCTGGTCTTTCTTTTGTTGTTAATAAATTTATAGAAACTTTTCTTGCTGCCCTTTACCTCCAAAGCCAGATTAACTTCTGGCTGGCCTTTGGACCTTCTAATTGTGTCCCTGCATAACCTAACAACTTTCTTGTACTCATTACGAGTGGTCTGTCCCCTCTTCCAGAGGCCATAAACTCTCCTTTTTTCCCTGATTTTAAGCCAAATCTCCCTATTCAGTCGGGCCGGTTGTCTTTGCTGCCAGCTGATCTTACGGCACGTGGGGATGGCCTGTTCCTGTGCCTTTAAGATTTCCTCCTTAAATAGTGTCCAGCCTTCCTGGACTCCTACACCTTTCAGAACTGGCTCCCCAGGGGTCAAGTAACCTCCTAAACAAGTCAAAGTCTGCCCTTCGAAAGTCCAAAGTGGCAGTTTTGCTGCCCCTCGCCCCTCAACATCTCTAAGAATAGAGAACTTAATAATTTCGTGGTCACTGTTCCCTAGACTGCCTCCAACTGCTATATCCTCCACAAGACCTTCTCTGTTCACATACAGGAGGTCCAGCAGGGCGCCTTCCGTGGTCGGTTCACTCACTAGCTGTGCGAGGAAGTTATCCTCCACACATGCCAGCAACCTCCTGGATTGTTCCCCCTCTGCTGTGTTGTATTTCCAGCAGATACCTGGGAAATTGAAGTCCCCCACAAGAACAACAGCAAGCGACCGTGAGATTTCTCCCAAGTGCTTACAGAATGTTTTGTCTACCTCACTGCTCTGACTGAGAGGTCTATAGCAGACTCCCACAGCAATATCAGCTTTATTGGCCTTGCCCCTTATCCTAATCCAAACACTCTCAACCCCATCGTCACTACACTTAAATTCTGAGCATTCATAACAGTTCCAAACATACAGGGCCACCCCATCGCCTCTCGTTCCTTGTCTATCCCTCCTGAAGAGCTTGTAGCCATTGATTGTGGCACTCCAGTCGCGTGAGGCATCCCACCACATTTCTGTGACAGCCACTATGTCAGTTTTCCTGTTGCATTATGGCTCTCCATGTTTGTTGCTCATACTCCGTGCATTGGTACAGATGCACTTCAGATGAGCTAATGATCCCAACACCTTTGTGTGGGTGTGGGGCCCATTTCCTACCAGACCCTTCTGAGATGCTTCCGTGACTTCCAAAACATCAACAACAGCTCTTGCCTCTTCATTCCTCATTCTCCACAAGTGAGGCTCGTAAAGCTGTGCTGTTGCTGAAGCAAAAGCTCTTACAAAATCAAAGAAGCGTACCCTTCTGAAAGATGCTTGTTGTTATCACAGTCATCCTCCTCCTGGAAGTATGCCCTTGCACCAGTTATCCAGAGCTTCTACTTTTTTATTCAAATTCTCATGTCAGGAGGGCCTATAGCCAGTGTCCCCTCAAAAAACATCACAGCTTCTCCTCACACAAGAACTTTCATATTTACTCTGTCTTCTGACCTAGGAACCCAGAAACCACATACCCAGCATTAAATTCTACAATGAAATGGTTCCTTGAATAACCTGCAAGCCCCTACACAATCAATAAAAAACCACTACAGTGTTATAAAAGATCTTTGCATCTTTGGGACTGTTTGCTAGAAAGAAACAACCCTGCCCATTAGCACCACAGTTGCCTCAGCTTACCTTCCATGGTGAATTGGCAAGTGTTTGCGGTGGATCCCATGGCTCCCCTCCACAAAAGCGTTGGGTGGTTTGTGGTACACGGAAGCCAGAGACCCAATATGGCAGATCAACTCATCTAGCAGAGTCGGTTCAATCAGATCGGTCTCTTCAGAAATAAGTGGCTTTTCTGAGAGGACCACTTCTTTGGCAGTCACTGGATCCGTGGAAAGAAGGCGCCAGTAGATGTAGCCACGATCCCGCAGGTCTGGGTTGTCAGAATCCTGAGACAAAGCAAAACATCAGTCACGGGTCTGAAGCGGACTAAGGCCTATAATCACTTAATTTTTCTAGCAGTGATTCTGTTGGATTAAAAACCCCCAACCATCCAGTAGCAACAGTCACCAATTTCAGAACGATGTTACAAACTGCTTGTTGTGACGAACATCCCATAATTAAAAATGAGAACCAAAGTATTAATTCCTAGCTTCCTGCTCAGCTGGTCAGGGAGGAAAAAGACCAGCATTCACATCCCACAACTGCCCCAACCCACAGAGCTATCAACTGCTTTCCAAATTCTTCTGCCACTTGACATAACAGTAAGTATTAGAACTCCAAGGGGGTGTAGACAGGAGAAAAGAACATGAGCTGAAACGACTCTGCCACACACTAGGAGCAGACACGCAATACTGCACCTTGTAACGGAACGATCCTGGAAATCTATGACTTACCCAAAGGCGCTGCTGGACAAAAGGACGCTGCGGAGCTACAGGATAGATCTTAATAACCCGTATTCTTCATATCAAGACAGATCTTATTTATTCTGCCTGTTAGTTATCTAATGAAGTATGGAAAGATGCTAACGATATACCGTTAGCATACTTCATCAGTTCTCCAGCTGCCAATAATACCCTCATTTTACTGCAGTTACTTCTGCCTCTGCATGAAGTGCTAATTATTTCTCTCCTTTTTGAACAGCCCTGTCCAGAGCAGCAAAGTGAGTGGTGATAGTTTGCAGCTAGTTTTAGGGAAAGGGGGGTGGTGGGGCTTTATGTTGTAGTGCAACATGTTTGAACTGTTCATGGAAATAAGGGCTGGGATTTTTAATCCCCACAACAGCAGAATAACAGAGTGAATGTTTCTGAGGGTTCCCCCCCGCCCCGTAAAATTCTGGCAACACATTGTACACTTTGTTAGCCTTCTTCCATTTCTCTTTCTCTTCTGTGATCTCATTCATGCTGCTGCTGATCTGCTATAACCTGCCTCTGCCGTCTGTCTCAAGACATTCTCAGGCACACAACAAAATCTCTGTCTGTAACGAGACTGAGCACACTAAGCTCATTTCGCTCTTACGCACCTAGATACCATGGCTGGGTCAACTGATAAGGTCTCTCTGCAGTGCTGTTTTTCAGTTTGATGTTGGAGTCGTGGCCTTTTTACACCCTTTGCCCTTAACAATTCCTACAAGACTCTCAGCATCCTGCCTGCAGCAGGCAGCTGAGGATCAGGCAGGGCTTCTGCAAGGGCAGACATCAAAGACCACACGCTCCTATCTCCTTGCTGGCACATACAGATTCAACACTGACTGTTTCTTCCCACAGCCAAACAGACTTGAAACTTCAGTAAATTTACCGGAACAAGATCTTCCCTTTCCACGTTTCTCCCAATTCTCCGCTCTCCAGGGTCTGCAGGTACACCTGCGGTGCATACCAATGAACCCAGGCTAGCCTACTTACCCACCCATGACAGACAGACAACGGCAATGGAATGTAGAGGCTCTGTGCCATCCGTTAGGTTTTGGGCTTGCCAGGGACCTTGATCACTGCTAACACATCTGTGTCCCTCCCATCCCCAGCTGCTTCATTGCTATTTTTACCAGTGCTGGCTGGATTAAGCTGGCTCCTGCTACAATCGCACCTGCAGTTTGCTGTGCAGACATACCCTAAGAGACACTCAAAGTGCAACAATACCTAAGCTGGGGAAAGAAACACACATGTAATTACTCTCCCACTCAAGTGAAAAACAGTATCTCTACCTAGAAATCAGCCCTTGAAGCATAAGGCTTTTTAGTGTTTTACAGCCAGTTATCCTACACAGACTTATTCTTCATATAAAATACAAGAAGCCAGACTGAATCAACATTTGTGACAAACAGAAAAAACACACGCCTATTATATTCCTAGGGTGCCATTAAGTGTTTTGTGACTCAGCATAGTGGGTTTTAACACTTGGTACCTTTCTTCTGTTGGCTTAGACAAACCATACAGCATGGCCATGGCCCACTCCTCCCTAAAGAGGAGCTGAGAGCCTGCCTAACAGCAGGTTTTGAAGCAAGAAAAGCAGGCCACAGATTTCTTGCCAGTAACCCATGCAACACCCCCAAAGGGATGAATAAAAGTTAAGTACTAATAAGTCCACAGCCATGCCTTCCTGCAGCAAAGAGGACCAGAAAGGCCAGCTGATGACTGACTCCAGGTTTTCTGCTCAGCCCATTCAGAACAGCTGGGAGACTATTTTCATCACTTGACACAGCACGGCTGGAGAGGAGCTGCTCTTTTTGGACTACACCATCACAGTCATTACAGCCAGGAGTGTAGGAGGATCGCCTGAGGTCTTACCCACTCCTGCCACCAGGACGTCTCCACTTCTGTCCTCCAGAACTACAGCGTTTCTGTCTGCCACCTCCAGCCCAGCCTCACCTGCAGTGATCTGAGCTCATAACACAGCACCTCATGCATAATGAATCTGGGACCTTAACCCACTGTTACAGCCTCCAGCAAAGCTGCCACACTGGTTGACAGCATCCAAGTACACAGGAAAAAAGTCCGAACTCCAGCTCTTTCTTTTTCATAGCACTGCTTAAGCTTTGCTGTTCACAGAAGAGTCTTTGCCAGGCTCTTTC